AGGGAATCTGATGCCCTCTGCTGGCCTCCATGTGCTTCTTCACAGACATGGTGCACACAAAAACTTAGGCAGGCACACACACATACACAAACTTCTTTGAAAATAAGTCTTTAAAAATTAAATTTAAAAATAAAATAAACATGAGAAAATTAATTTTTTAAAATTTAAACATAATTTTTCTGCCTCCCTCCCTCCTCCTCTTAAAATAATTTTTTTTTTTTGGTTTTTATGAGACAGGGTTGCTCTGTATTGTTTTGGAGGCTGTCGGTCCAGCCTGGTCTCGAACTCACAGAGATCCGCCTCTCTCTGCCTCCCGAGTGCTGGGATTAAAGGCGTGCACCACCACCGCCCGGCTTAAAAATAATTTTTAAATTAAAAATAAATTAACAAAAATTTTAAAGTATGATTTTCAAGTGACACAATACTGCCGTGTTATCAGACTGCCCATCTAGTCCGTAAGTGTAAGAAGACACGTCTTGACACGGTAAGACTAACTGGCAGATTAACACATCAGTAGCAAATAGGCTTCCTTCTTTTTTTTAAAGCTATGCTTCTTCAAGTTCCTTCTAATTCACATTTTAGTATTCTTGGGTGTTCTGTTTGAGAGACTAAATATATAGGCTGTGGCCAGAGAGTGCATAAAGTAGAATTCTAAATGGAATGGAATTGAGAACACAGAAACATCTATGTTGTTTATAGCCAACTGGTTTTTTGTTTTGTTTTGTTTTTGGAAAAGAGGTCAAGAACATACATTGGAGAAAGGACATTTTCAGTAAATGGTACTGGTAAAATTAGATATCCATATGCAGAAAAATGAAACTAGACCCCCATGTCTCACCGAGTATGAAAACCAACTTTGATGAAAATGGATCAAAGACAGTGTTATGTGGCACACAGCTGTAATCCCAGCACGGGGAGCAGACACGGAAGAGTCATTGCAAACTGAAGGCCAGCATGGTCTGCTGGTTGTGCTAGCCAGAGCTTCATAGCAAGAAGCTGTCTTTTTAAAAAAGTAAAGGGAAGGCTGGGTGGTGGTGCACACCTTTAATCCCAGGACTCAGGAGGCAGAGGCAGAGGGATCTCTGTGAGTTCAAGGCCAGCGTGCTATACAGAGTGAGTTCCAGGGCATCCAGGGCTGTTACATAGAGAAACCCTGTCTCGAAAAGCTAGCAAACGGAAAAGCAGCTTGGTGGCATACAACAATGATTTCAGCACTTGAAACGCAGAAGCAGGAGAAATCTCCAATTCCAGAGCAAACAAAGTAAGACTTTGTATTTTAAAAAATACATACTTAAAATAAATGTCAATGCAAAATTAAACAAACACATAAAAAGAACTCTGAGCTATGTTTGCAACCACTACTCAAAAAACGAAGTTCTTTGTTGTTGTTGTCGTTGTTGTTGTTTTGTTTTCCAGACAATGTCTCCCAACTTGCTCCTCAGAAAGAGCAGTGCTGCAGGACTCCAAGAACTACAATTCCCGGCAGGCCCTGCGGCGGCGCGCCACTACTTGGATGCGTGCGCAGCCGCGGAGCCCTGAGCTGTTCCCGCCAATTCTCGTGTCTGTCTAGTTCCTGACTTCATGGAGGCTTTTGATCCTGCCGAGCTGCCGGAGCTACTCAAGCTGTATTACCGACGGCTCTTTCCCTACGCCCCGTACTATCGCTGGCTCAACTATGGCGGAGGTGATGGAGGCTGGAGCGCGAGGGGGAGTGGGGCTGGGAGCGGTGTGCGAGGAGGTTCTGGGAGGGATATCCTCACGAGTGTGTCAGATGTGTCTGTCGGGTGCCCTCCTGCACCGTCTCCATCCCGCCCCACCACCTCTGAGGTACGGAAAGACAGGTGGCCCTAACGGTCCTGCAGACACCCTGTTAAAAAAGAAAACAGAACGGGGCCAGCAACAAGCGGGTTTCTAGGTGTTAGCATGGAGGCGTGGAGGTGTGACCCGCAGCCCGGTGCTGGGAAGGAGGAAGACGCTTTCCCGGCTGGGGCCAAGGGCCCGCCGATGACAGGCATTGCGTCTTTTCAAATATTTACACCTCCATTGTTCCCTAGCAGATGCGGAGTAGTACGCCCCTTCAAACTACAGGCTAAGTAGAACAGTGTGAGCACAATGGCACTCGGGAAAAATATCCTAGAGGGCCTGGTGACTCACGCCTGTAATCCTTACCTTTGGGAGGCTGAGGCAGGTGAATTTTCATGAGTTCAAGGCCAAGCTGGGCTACATAGTAAATTCTAGGGCAAGCTAGTCTATATAGTAAGACATCCTATACACGTGTGTGTGTGTGTGTGTGTGTGTGTGTGTGTGTGTGTGTGAGAGTATGTATGTGTGTGTATATATATGTGTGTGTGTGTATATAGTCCTGTTAGTTGAGGTTATGTAATACCCTAAACTGAATACCAAATTGAAATTATTTTGCAGTGACAAAGAATTACTTTCAACACCGTGAATTTTCATTCACATTGAAAGATGATATTTACATTCGCTACCAGTCCTTCAGCAACCAGAGTGAGCTGGAAAAGGAGATGCAGAAAATGAATCCATACAAGATTGATATTGGTGCTGTATATTCTCACAGAGTAAGGAATCTTTTTTGTGTGTTTTGCTTCTTAGGCCAGAGTGGGTTAGTACCCCCGAGTTTTGAAGGCATTGTTTTAGGGTTTGCTATAGTTGATGAAACACACTGGTTTTGCCTGGCATTGCTGGACTCTTGGGTTCCATAAACCAAGCATGTTGGTGAATTACCTGTAACCCAGTGGAAAGGAAGAGGAGGATCAGATGTCTAAGCCCATCTTAGCTGCATAGGAATTGGAAACCAGTTTGAAATACATGAGACCATGTCTTTAAAATGGAAAAAAATTCTTGCTGGGGTGGCAACATACTCCTTTAATTCCAGAGACAGGCAGATCTCTGAGTTTGAAACCAGCCTCATATACAGAGTTAGTACCAGGACAGTCAGGGCTGCAGGAGAGACCCTGTCTCTTAAAACAAACAAAAAAACCTTTGATTTGATTGGCTAAAAGAGAAAAATAAGATAAGTCTCAGTAAGCCTGAGATTGAGGAGATACCGCAGTTGTTGAAGTGTTTGGGGACCTGACTTGAGAATCCCTTAGTACCGGTGTCCCGAGGCAGAGACAGGTGGACCCCTGGAGTTTGCCAAACTGGCAGAATCAGGGAGCTCCAGGTTCAGGAAGAGACCTGATCTAAGGTTGAGAAAAATACCTGATTTCAACCTCTGACATATACACATGCATCTGCACACACAAAACAGTAAGTATAGAAGTTTTTTATTAAGTTTCTCAGAAAGGAGCTGGCATGTAGATGAGTTGCATGTGTTCTGGGAGACCCTATAATAGATCCGTGTTGCACTAGGGGTGGGAGGCTAATGTTATTCTCTCTCTAATGCATGAGACCTGGGAGCTCTTAGGATTTTCTGGTAACCTTTCTTTCCCGGGTTCTGAAATCATACAATTTGCACCTTGGTCTTTTAGATACTGAATGGACCCTTACCATACTCATGGTCTTCAATTGTGGGAGGAGCTATACTTTTTCTAAACACCCCATCCTTTCTCTTTGAAATGTCTTATTTCTGGGGATTTCAATGATAGTTTATTAAACTCTATTTTACACTCAACCCCACTCCCCCCATTCATAATCTTCCTGGTTCTGCCTCCTGAGTTGCTGGAATTTACCAAAGCACCCAGCTACAGATGTGATGCTTTTACTGCAAAGTAATCTGGCCAAGCCATATTCTTAGGGACTCTGAGCTAAGTTTCTCTAGGGGGTCTTTGTCAGAATAATATGTCCACTAGCATAGCTACTTTTGTTTAGTCACTGAGCCCAACACAGCTTCTTCAGGTTGTCAGTGGAAAGCAACAGACTAAGGAGAGAGGGTTGGGTTTCTGGCTAAGGAGATAGCTCAACAGGCTTTGGACCTGAGTTCAAACTTCCAGCATTCACATAAAAGCTGGTTGTGGTTTTTGTTTTTTAAGATTTGATTGTGAGCCACCATGTGGTTGCTGGGAATTGAACTCATGACCTCTGGAAGAGCTGCCGGTGCTCTTAACCTCTGAGCCATCTCTCCAGCCCAATGCTGATTGTGTCTACACTTACGCCTATAACCTCAGTACTGTGAGAGGCAGAGGCAGGAGGATCACTGGAGCTTGCTGGCAACTAGCCAAACTCCAAGTTCTTTGAGAGACCCTGTTTCCAGGGAATGAACTGGAGAAGTAATCCAATAGGATACCTAACATCCTGCACTCATGCACGGGTAAACCACACACACACACACGCGCATGTACATGTTCTCTCTCTCACACACACTCATACATAGACATAAAAATAGATACAGTTTTTAAAAAGGGCTGAACCTCAGTGTTTCATACAAAAATACCTGGTTAATCTCTCTATAATATATCTTTCTTCAACTGTGCCTTTTGTCCCCCAAGTCCAAAGACCCTCTTATATTTTCTTTTTTTTGGTTTTTCGAGACAGGGTTTCTCTGTATTGTTTTGGAGGCTGTCTTGGAACTCACTCTGTAAACCAGGCTGGCCTCGAACTCACAGAGATCCACCTGCCTCTGCCTCCCGAGTGCTGGGATTAAAGGCGTGCGCCACCAACGCCCGGCCCCCTCTTATATTTTCTAAGTAATAGTTCAGGTATCTTCTGTAGGGTTATATAAGAATCTGGAGCGCTGGGTGTGGCAAGGACTGGGAGTTTGCCTACCATGGAAACTCTGGGCTCCAGGACTACATAATCTGAGTGTGGCAGCACATCTTATCATTCCAGCACTCGGGTGGCAGCAGGATTAGCAATCCAACATTGCCCTTGGTCACATAAGGAGTTCAAGATCAGCCTGGGCTGCATGAGACCCTGTCTCAAAACAACAACAAAGGCTCATTTGAGGAGATATTTTTAATCTGTTGAAGGGATCTAAAATAAGTATATATTTATTATTTGTCTATATAGTAACAAGGAAAGATTTGTGAAACACCCTGTAATAAGGGATTATTTATATAGACATTTCTTTATTAGAAACCTAAAATAGCTTTATGATTTGTCATACAATATATATCTCTAGAGAATTCATTAAACCTATTCTAAGTAGATTAAAAAAATAAAACTCATTAATTCAGGTTGTGTGAGAGCCAAAGTAGTGACTCAAAGCGCCATGGACGTTGTAGTATTATGCAATTTCTTTGACTCATTTTTCTGTGCGAGTAGACATGGGCAGTTCTTTCAGAAACTGAGGGGCATTTTGTATCTGTAGCCCAGTCAGCACAGTACAGTGAAGCTGGGAGCTTTCCAGGCTCAGGAGAAAGAACTGGTCTTTGACATCGACATGACAGACTACGATGATGTGAGGAGATGCTGCAGGTAAGCCCCTTCTGTTGGAGTGGGGTGATGTTACTGACAGCAAGTAATGGTGACTGTGTTCCAGTTCTGCAGACATATGTTCTAAGTGCTGGACTCTCATGACGATGGCCATACGCATCATAGACCGGGCATTGAAGGGTACGTGTCCGGCAGGGTCTGCTTTCCACAGTCTCTGTATTTCATTAGCAGATCTCATACGTTTCTAGTATTTTCCCCTGAAACATAAGAGAAAAGGAAAAGAGAAAAATTTATAGTGAGAACATTAATACAGCTGTCGCACAAACCAGTATCTCCCCCAGTCAGTACAGTCCGCAGTAGCACACTCTGTGTGCTAGGTACTAGTCTCTGTAAGAAAAATGGAAAAAAAAGAAGAATATTACCCAGGCTGGTTTTAAACTTGCTATAGTACCAAGGATGACTTGAACTCCTGATCCTCCTGCCCCCACTCCCCCACTCAATTACAGTACCTCTGAACTGATTCCTGTGTGGTTTGGCCCACCGCTGCTTCTAATTCTATCTCTAAGGGATCCAATGCCATCTTCTGGTTTTGGATGCGCCAACACATATGTGGTAAATGTACACACATATGCACATAAATATTATTGAAAATAAGTCAAAAGAAATTCTTGTCAGAAAAATGAAGATGGGTTAAAAAAAAAAGATCTCAGGGCACAGCAAGCTACATGTAAGTCAGTGTGATTAAAATGAGAAAGCTCTTGCTGTGTCTTAGTTAGGGTTCCCATTGCTGTGAAGAGACACTGACCGCAGGCAGCCACTCTATAAAGGAACACATTGAATTGGGGTTTGACCCATTGGCATCATGGTGGGGTGCATGGTAGCGTGCAGGCAGAGGGTGCTGGAGCTGAGAGTCCTACATCTTGCAGGCAACAGGAAGTGATCCATCTCTTTCAAACCACCACACTGTGTGAACGTGAGCACCAGAGCTTGGATTTCCAGCACCTGTGTAAAAGCCAAGCATGGTAGCGCCTACCTGTAACCACGGCATGGGCAGGTAGAAATAAGAGGGCTTGTTTAGCTTGTCTAGCTGAATCAGTGATCTTCAGATTCAGCGAGAGGCCTCAAAAATAAGGTGGACAGCAACAGAGGGATACATCCAATGTCAGTCTCTGAATTCCCATATGTATGTACAGGCATGCACACCCATATGTCATAAAGACACACATTTAAGAATAAGAGAAAGCTGAGTCTGGTGGTGCACATCAATAATTTGGGGGATAGAGGTAGGAGGATCAGGAGTTCAAAGTCATCCTTGGCAATATAAGCAAGTTTAAAACCAGCCTGGGTTACATAAGACCTTGTCTCTAAATATAGCCTACTCTGGGGTTGGGGATAGGGGCTGGGGGCGGGGGACGAGAGTACTTGGGGAAAACATGAGAGGTTAGTAAGCAAGATGTCGGTTGTAAAACTCTTAAGACCTGTTGTTTCTGCCCCTCTTCAGAGGACTTTGGATTTAAGCACCGCCTCTGGGTGTACTCAGGAAGGAGAGGTGTTCATTGTTGGGTCTGTGATGAATCTGTTAGAAAATTGTCCTCTGCTGTGCGTTCTGGGATAGTGGAGTACTTGAGTCTTGTAAAGGTAAGCTTGTCTCGTTAACAGTTTCCATGTCTTTCTCTAGTAGATACTGCCAAGCCTGGAACTTGCAGTGACACAGAAAATGTTTTATAGCAATGATGGTTTAAAGTTATGGTAACTACTTTTTGAAAGATACTACATGCGTGCATGCACACAAGCGCAAACACACATTGAGCACACGGGCAAACGTGCATGTGTGCACACGACTCAGGTAACACTACAGGAGAGAAGATGGAAAGGATGAACCAGACAGAGGCTGGAGGTAAAGTCAGTGAGTCAGACACATGAAAGACCTGAAAATGAGAAGGCCTGTTGGAAGAAGTATTTCAGTAGAGGTGAGGGGGTTGAAAATAGCTAACATGCTGGGTGTTGGTGGTACATGCCTTTAATCCCAGCACTTGGGAGGCAGAGGCAGGCAGATCTTCCTGAGTTCAAGTCCAGCCTGGTCTACAGAGTGAGTTCCAGGACAGCCTCCAAAACAATACATGGAAACTCTGTCTCGGAAAAAAAAGAAAGAAAGAAAATAAGTAACATTCATCATATAGATATGTAAACTCAAACAATAGATAAATTATTTATATTTTTAAAATATACATGGCATTTCACACCGATAGTTTTAGCACCCAGAGACTGAAGCATGTTGTAAGCTCTAGGCCGGCCTGGGCTGGACAGTCAGATGCTGCCTCCAACAACAAAAATCATGCTAAATATTTTGCTGCTAAATATTTTCCTTCGTAGCAAAAGGAAAATTAATTTGCTTCTCTTGTGAATTTTGTCAAATGAAGTTAGCAGAAAGTTGGAGTACTGAGACTGGGCTGAAGAGATGGCTCGGGGGTGAAAGCACTTCCTACCCTCGCAGAGGGCCCTGACTGGGTTCCCAGCACCCATATGGTAACTCACAGCCACCCGGGATCTGACTCCAGCTACCGGCCTCTACAGCGATAACACTCTCGTGGTATATACCATATACTCAGGAACACACACACAAAAATTAAATATTTTTTAATAAAGAGATAGCATCCAAGCTTCCATACTTTCAAATTTAGCCACCATCTCTGGTTTTTACATAGCTTTAAATAACATAATAGAATGTCTTAAAGATGTTTTTAGGTAATTTTATTTGTGCTTTATAATATACATAAATAAAGGTCTTTTTTTGGTGGCTTATTTTTCAGGGTGGTCAAGATGTTAAAAAGAAAGTTCATCTAAGTGAAAAACTTCACCCTTTTGTCAGGTGTGTTGGGAAAGACTCCCTGAGGTTCTCTGGCTTGCTATGTGTGATTGTAAAGTCTCCTGCTGTCAGTTTTCATCTCTGAGGAGCGCTTTTAGTAGCCGTTGCTCTTATTGGCCTCCTGTTTTATGGTACCCTATTCCAGTGTGTTTTTCTTTGGTTCTTAGTAACCCTTCAGGACTTGATGAGAGGCGTGACAGTATCTCTGTTGAAAGATAAGAGGAGCAGGCTCTAGAGAATTATATGACCTGCTTAGCATCACACAAGTAATTATTAACATCTCACATGAAGGCCCTGTCTGCCTACTGCTAAAATCCATGCTTCCTCTACCCCTGCTTTGCCTTGGCCTTGATTAAATGACTGAGCAGCACTTCCTCGTGTGAGTGATGTGGAGGGCTGGGTCTGCTCTGCTTGACTCTAGAGTTGGGGCAAAGACAAATGAAACAAGACGTGAAGAATATTTGCAACCCCCAAGTGTTATGACTTGTTACCATGTTTTATTTTCTTTTGTCTTCAGAGGGTCTCTGTCACCCTGGCTGACATGGAACTCACTCTGTAGACCAGGCTGGCCTCTGTAGAGATCCCCCTGCCTCTGCCTCCCCAGTGCTGGGATTAAAGGTGTGTGCCACCATGTTAGGCAGCTGTTGTGATTTTAAAGCAAGATCCTAGATCCTACATGTAAAACTGATATTTTGTTCTAAGTTGGTCTTTATACCAGTTTTGCATGTTCTGTGATGTTAGTAGCATTATAGATTGTAGGATTTAAGATGTAATCATTTAAGCGTGGCAGCATACACTTTTAATCCCAGCACCAGGAGGCAGAGGCGGTTGATCTCTACAGAGGCCTGCCAGGTTTCCAGAGGAGTTTCAGGTGATCCAGAATTATACAGTGAAAGGCTGTCTCAAAATAAAATAAAAATATTTAAAAGAGGCCAGGCATTGGTGGCATATGCCTTTAATCCCAGCATTCGGGAGGCAGAGGCAGGTGGATCTCTGTGAGTTTGAGGCCAGCCTGGTCTACAAAGTGAGTTCCAGGGCAGGCTTCAAAGCTACAGAGAGAAACCCTGTCTCGGAAAAGGAAGAAAAAAAAATTTGAAAGGAACAAACCTTTCCCTGGTACCTACAATCCTGTGATAGGTACATGATAGGTTATTTCCCTTTAAGTGTCTAGTATTAACTCAATTAACAAAAGGGCCTCATTCCATTTAGCTCTTCTGGGAATTTGGGAAGAGTAAGCAATGACCTCACCCAGTAGGAGAGTGCCTGTGCATCCCATGTGTTGCTAATACTGTTGGGACTTGGTTGTTACTGTTATTCCTACAGGAAATCTATAAACATAATTAGAAAATACTTCGAAGACTATGCCTTAATTGGCCAAGATATTCTTGAAAATAAAGAAAACTGGGATAAGATTTTAGCCCTTGTTCCTGAGAATATCCTTTCCTGTGGCCACTGTGTGAGCAAAGCGTGTCAGTCTGTGACATAGATATGTACTACCTGCTCAGTCTCATATGTCCCTACGAGTTTAATCTTTTGTTTCCTGCATGTCTACATGTCTACATTTTTATTTCATTGGGCTACAGTAAGAAATGGGACCACTTTGTAAGATAGTTTTCTCATGTTATAAGTTGTTCCTAGAACTAATGGTTAAAGAATGGGGAGTCTACTGGGAGATAGTGCACACCTTTAAACCCAGCACTCGGGAGGCAGAGGCAGGCGGATCTCTGTGAGTTCGAGACCAGTCTGGTCTAAAAGAGCTAGTTTCAGGACAGCCTCCAAAGCCACAGTGAAACCCTGTCTGGAAAAACAAAAAACAAACAAACAAAAAAAAATGTAGAGTCATTTAGTCTGGATATGTACAAGACCTGGGAAAAGTTCATTATAATACCTTATAATTATTTTTGCATTCTTTCGTTCATTTCACTACTATATTTTTATAAGGGATTTTTTTGGTTTTTAGTTTTTGAGACCGGGTTTCTCTGTATAACAGCTCTGGCTGTCCTGGAACTCTTTTTGTAGAGCAGGCAGGCCTCTGCCTTCCGAGTGCTGGGATTAAATGCATGTGGCACCATTGCCTGACTATAAGGGAAGTTTTTAATGCCTAGCATTTATGTTTTGGAATCACTAATAGTTTCTAAGTGTGAAGCTTCAACATCCTTGTGATAACACATATTGCACACTTAACTTACTGAGGTACCCAGATCCGTGTGTTCCTTAACGCTGCATCACCCATTCACGATGAGCTTCAGAGGGGCTTCCAAAGGCTTCACAGTTCATCTCAACGCTGGGAGTATCTGAGGAAAGTGATCAGCACACCCCAGGTATTGAAATCTGTGTTTACCAATATCATAGTACAATCATGATTAAGTTGTGATTGTTTCTGCTTAGTCATTTAAAGATGGATGAAGGTCTTTCTTTTTGACCATCTTTGAAGAAGTACTCAGAAGTCCCTTCTGGTCCTCATGGTGGCCTTACATCATCTGCTTTCAGAATATGAAGAATGACAAATGTGGTCCCTGGCTGGAGTGGGAGATCATGGTTCAGTACTGTTTTCCACGCCTGGATATCAACGTGAGCAAAGGAATCAATCACTTACTGAAGAGCCCTTTTAGCGTTCATCCTAAGACAGGTACAATTCGAGGAAAGCTAAACGGTTTTCCTTTTGTTTTGAGGCAGGGTCTCACTAGGTAGACCTGGCTAGCCCAGAACTCAGTCTGTAGACCAGGTTTCCCTCAGAGATCTGCCTGCCTCTGCCTCTGAGTACTGAGATTAAAGGTATGCTCCATCATGCCTGGCTCGTTGTTTTTGGTGTTAGCAAGGATGCCATTAGTTGTGGATAGATTTAGATATCTGTGAAGTTAAGGTTGAAGAAGCGACTTGTTGGCTAGTATCTACATACTTTGACCTTGCCCGTTAAGTGGCTACCAGGTGAATTGCTATTATATAAAGGTTTCAGTGTTGGGAGATGTGAGTCTCAGTTTGTAAGGTCCCTGCCTGGCATGCACAAGAGCCCTGGGTTCCATCCCCAGCAACCACAGGCCTGTAATCCCACTAATCAGGAGGTGGACACAGGAGAGTCAGAAGTTTGAAGTCATCATCGTCAGCAACATGGAGTTTGAGGCTAGACTAGGCAATACAAGAGCCTTGTCTCAAAAAAGACAGAGAAAAGAGGAAAAAACAAACATTCAGAGAAACAAACTGAAACCAAGTATAAAGTTATTACACACCTGTAATTCCAGCACACAGGATGTAGAATCGAGAGGGAAGCCAGAGGGTCAGAGCATCTTCGGCTACATATCGAGTCCCAGGCTAGCCCAGGTACTCCACTATGGGACCCTATTTCAAAAGAAATCATTATCCCACAGAATCTGCTGACCCGAGCTAGTGAGAGGTCACTGACTCAGGTCTGACAAATGTGGAACCTTCGTAAGACTGAACTAGACTCCCTTAATATAGGTGACGGGTGCAACTGGGACAATACATGAGGCCACTGGCAGTGGGTCCAAGGCCTAACTCTAATGCACAAAATGACATAGTGGAGCCCATCCTATATGGAGAGATACCTTGCCCAGCCTAGACACAGGGGTGTGGGGTGGAGAGGTACCTTGGTCCTGCCTCAACTAGATGATGGGACAGACTTAGTAGACTTCTAGGGAAGGCCTTACCCCCTCCGTAGAGCAAATGGGAGAAGGGGGGATGGGGGGAACAGGAAGAGAGGAGGGAGGGGGAACTGGGATTGCAATGTAAAAAATTAAGAAAAAAAGAAAGAAATCATTGTATCCTCAGTGATGAATTGTATATATTTTCCCAGGTGTAGATTGTTTTGTTTTGCTTTTTCAAGACTTGGTTTCTCTCTGTAGTTCTGGCTATCCTGGAACTCACTCTCTAGAACAGACTGGCCTGGAAGTAGATGTAGATTTATAAGATAATGTCATTGAAGATCATGTGTCACTGAGCAACAGAAATGCCTTTAGAGAAATATAATTTACTTTATTATTGTGCACACATCGCAGAATACTTTCATACAATATGCTGCTTGTTGCTGGACAGTATCTTATAATATCGCCATCATGTACAGCCCATCAGTTAACCAGAATATATCAGTTAACCAGAATATCATTCTGGACATATGATTGTGCACAAAATGCTCAGTAAAGATGTCAGGTATGGAACTGGTGTGGTAGCTCAGCAGGCAAGAGGCACTTGCTACCACATTTGATGACCTAGATTCGATTTCCTGGACTTACATGGCTGAAGAAAAAAACCAACTTCTACATTTGTCCTCTGACTTACACACACACACACACACACACACACACACACACACACACAAATAAATGTTTTTTTAAAAAAGTTTCTGGTGACACTGGAGAGATGGCTCAGGCTAAGAGCACTGGCTGCTCTTCCAGAGGTACTGGGTTCATTTCCCAGCAGCCACATGGTGACTCACAACCATCTGTAATGAGATCTGGCGCCCTCTTCTGGCCTTCAAACAGAACACTGTATACAAAATAAATGATTAAAAAATATTTTTTTGACGGGCTGGATAGATGATTCAGTGGTTAAGAACATGTACTGCTCTTCCAGAGGACCTGAGTTCAAATCATAACACCCATATAGGGCATCTCACTGTCTGTAACTGCAGCTGCAGGGGGGATTTGATGCCTCTGACTTCTGCATAGAACGCACACATATAATTAAAAATAATAGAAATAAGCTTAAGATGTCCCAAGTGGTCAAATGCTGGTGCATATGGTAGTCTGAGCATTTAGGGGATTCATAGGTTCAAGGCCAGCCTGGGTTACATAGTAGTGAGTTCAAGGACAGCTAGGGCTACATAGTGAGACCTTGTCTCCAAAAACCAAATTAAATAACCCTTATATTAGCAAAGCATTTGAAAAAAAATTGTGGCCAGGCAGTGGTGGCATATGCCTTTAATCCTAGCACTTGGGAGGCAGAGGCCAGCCTGATGTACAGATCGAGTTCCAGGACAGCCAAGACTACAGAGAAACCCTGTCTCAAAAAAAAAATAATAATATTGTGTGTGCATGTTCACGTGCATGCTAAATATTGAGCCTAGGATCTCATGTACAAGTCAAACATTCTACTGCTAAGCTATATCCCCAGCACTTTGTAAAAATTTAACCAAAAATAAATAATTCAGAGACACAACAGCCTTCAATCATGTGTTTGTAACTTCTGGTTCTTACAGGTCGCATTTCTGTGCCAATTGATTTTCAGAAAGTGGATCAGTTTAACCCATTTACTGTTCCAACCATAAGGTACGTTCCAGATCACTGATCATTCCTCATTTGTGACTATTCGTGTATTTTAAATAGATTATCCTAGATCCCTGGAAGGACAGGTAGCTTCACAGAGTGACATATGTGATGATGGAGGTGTTTAGTACTAGGGATTATACAGTGACACTTTAGGGGAGCCATGCATGTCCTTAGTTGTTTTGTGGGAAAAGGCACCTTAAGGTCAAATAAGCTCAGTAGTGAGAGTACTGGACCCAAAACACAGCATCAAGAATAACAAATCTGATCGGGTGGTGGTGACTTTTTAATCCCACCCAGCACTTGGATCTCTGTGAGTTTGAGACCAGCCTGGTCTATAAAAGCTAGTTCCAGGACAGCCTGCAAAGTCACAGAGAAACACTGTCTCGTAAAACCAAAAAACAAAGCAAAACAAACAAAAAAAAGAATAACAAGTTTGGGAAATGCCAATCCAAGCATATTAGAAGTTTCAGTAGGGGCTTGGGAAGATGGCTTCTCAGGGGAAGCACAAGTGTTAAGGCCGGAGTTGAAATCCCTAGACCCAACTCAGAGCCAGGCACAGTAGCATGCACCTGTGATCTCAGTGTGTTTGTGGTGAGATGGGAGTAAGAGACAGGAAAATATCCCCAGAAGCTCACAGGCCAGTTAGCCCAAAACACACAGCAAAAAACAGCAAACAAAACCCATCTCAAGAAAGGGCCAGGGGTGAGGGTCCACACGCAAGCTTGTACTTTGTATGTATACTGTAGCTCGCCTACATGTATTCAGACACGAAAGTTTCAGCCTCGAGATGTACAGGGATGTAGCTCAGGGACAGCACTTGCCAGGCATACAGCATATGCAAGGCCCTGGTTAGATCCCCAGCACCGGCATGAAAAAGAATCTTGCCAGGCAGGCATAGTAGCGCATGCGGATGTGGATCCAAAGGCAGAAGGATCACGGTGTAGGTCCGGGAGTGTGAGTGTGGTTAGTGTGTAATAGCAGGTGTTGTGGTATACATCTGTAACCTCAGTCCTCAGGGAGTGGAGGTAAAACAAGGGAATTCAAGGTCATCCTTGACTATATAACAGTTTGAGGTCACCCTGGAGTACATAAAACCTTTTCTCAAAATTAAAAAAATAAAAACAAGTCACCCTGTCTCAAAACACCCAGGGCTTGCTGAGTATTGCAGCACTTGCCCTGAGTTTAGTCTGCATTACTGCAAACACTGCTGCATTCCCAGTGCTTACTATAATAATGTGCTTGAAGAACTCTAAGAAGAGATTGTACTGCCAGAAGTGAGTAATGCCAGGGCCTTTTACATGCGAAGACAGTCGATCCACCACTAAGCTACACCTCAGGCATGTGTTCTTTTGTTTGTTTGTTTGTTTGTGTTTTGGTTTTTCGAGACAGGGTTTCTCTGTGTTGTTTTGGAGGCTGTCCTGGAACTTGCTCTGTAGACCAGGCTGGCCTCGAACTCACAGAGATCCGCCTGCCTCTGCCTCCTGAGTGCTGGGATGAAAGGCGTGCGCCACCAACGCCCGGCCTTTTGTTTGTTTTTAAGATGTATTGTTATTATGTATACAGTGTTCTGTCTGCATGTAACCCTGCGGGCCAGAAGAGGGCACCAAATCTCATTACAGATGGTTGTGAACCACAATGTGGTTACTGGGAATTGAACTCAGGACCTGTGGAAGAACAGTCAGTGCTCTTAACCTCCGAACCATCTCTCCAGCCCCATGGCACATGTTCTTTTCACAGAATTTTTGAGCTTCATGTGCTAGTGTGTCAGTGAGTGATGTGAGTCTAGAAACCAACTTTAAAATTCCCTTATTTATTCTATTGCTTGTAGTGCCATCTGCCAAGAATTAGATGTGGTTTCCACTAACGACAAGGACAAACAGGAGCATGAGGCCGAATCTGAGAGCAAACACAGAGTCAGAGGTAAACTGATGCGTTGAAGCTTCACTCTAACAGAGCAGTCTGCATTCCTGTAACTAATTCTGAGAATGAGGCCACCCTGCGTCATTTGTCCTGAAGGCAGCTCAGTGATACACACTGTTAAAGAGCTGCCCTTCCTTGTGGAATGCTTTCTCTTTCCTGGTCAGGTATATTCCTAAGTACTTTGTTGTCTGGTTTTAGAGTTGTTTTGAATGGAGTATTTTTCCTAATTTCTTTCTCTGAGAATACAGTATTGGTTTATGTGAAGGCAGGTTTCATAGCCTGCAAGTTTCCTAGTGTATTCTATGGAGTCTTTAAAGAATTGTGTCATCTGCAAATATAGATAGCATGACTTCCTCCTTTCCTATTTTTATCCCTCCGAGGTCTGTCTTGTGTAACTGCTATAGCTAAGGCTTTGACAGTGTCCAGTAAAGGGCAGGGGAGGTGCTGGGAAATCTCAGGGTTAAGAGCACTGACTGCCCTTGCAGAGGGCCAGGTTCCATTTCCACCCCGTGTTACAACAGCTGTAACTTAGTCCCAGGACATCCGACGCTCTTCTCTGGCTCCCGTGGGCACTGCATGCATGTGGTGCACCGAAATACATTCAAACAAACACTCATACCCGTTAAATAAAGCAAACAAAATCTAAAAAGATAAAATAGAGAAAGGGGGAAGGGTGGTCATCCTTGTCTTGCCCTTGATTTTAGAGGAAATGCCCTTGGTCTGTCTCCATTTAAGATAATGTTGACTGTAGGTTTGTTCTGTATAACCTTTATCATTTTGAAGTATGTTCTAACTATTCCTAAAGTCTCCAGAACTTTTGTCATGAAGGCATGTTGAACTTTCTTAGACGCCTTTTCAGCATCAATAGAAATGCTTGTGTGGTGGTTTTTGTCTCAAATTTGTTTATGTGATATATTACATTTATTGATGTATACATGTTGAACCAACCTTGCCTCTCTGGCATGATGCCTGTGTATAATCTTCTTCTTCTTCTTTTTTTTTTTTTTTTGTTTGTTTGTTTGTTTTTTGAGACAGGGTTTCTCTGTGTTGTTTTGGAGGCTGTCCTGGAACTTGCTCTGTAGACCAGGCTGGCCTCGAACTCACAGAGATCCACCTGCCTCTGCCTCCCAAGTGCTGGGATGAAAGGCGTGCGCCACCAACGCCCGGCCGTGTATAATCTTCTTAATGTGTTCCTGGATTCAGTTTGCAAGTATTTTGTAGAGAATTTTTTACAGCTGTGCTCATCAAAACAAATTGGTCTGTAGTTTCTTTTTGTGTTGTGTCTTTTCCTGGTTTTGCTACCAGGATAATACTGGCTTTGTAGAATTAATTTGGTAGTGTTCCTTCATTTTCTGCTTGTTGAGCAAGTTTTTTAAAAACTGGTATGAGTTCTTCCTTTAAAGTTGGAGAGGTCAGGCATGGTGTCACATATGTTTAATTTCAGCACTTGGGAGGCAGAGGCAA